CAGGAGAAGTGGCACCGGAGAGGGGGAGCAGGCATCGAGGCACCGGCAGCAGGGCAGCGGTGCAGGGGGTCACCAGACAGACTGAGGACAGGAAAGAGGGCCGGTCCCAGCACCGGGGAGCAGAAAAGCGGCACCGGCAGGGGAGGGGGTGAGCCCCAAGCCCTGGCCCTGGCAAGGGGGACCGACGCCAGCAGTGCCGGTATCGGTGCAAGGGGTGGCCTGGGGCCTGAGGAGGGCGTGGGCAGGTGACTTGGGGGTCTGGTGTGGCACTGCTACTGGCACAATCACCAACAAGGTCACTAGCACTGGACGTCCCAGGTGACCCAGTGACGCTGTGGGACACGTGTGGGTGTTTGCGGGGTCCTGGCATCCACCAAGGGGCTGCAGGACACACAGCAAGGACAGATGGACCGACACATGGACACAAGGCACTTCCACGGGCACCCATCTGCACTGCAGGGGACCTTGTCCCCCGCTCCGGGCCCCGGGAGTGGCACACGGGACAGCCCCATCCCTGGTCTTTGTCCTCCCAGCCACCCTTCCACAGGTGGCTTGCACTGCCGGGTATGGCTGTGACGGTTCCGGGGTGTCACCGGGCTGGCTGCCAGCGGTGACACCGGGTGGCTGGATGCCACGAGGAGCACTTGGAGCATGGCCAGCGCCTCCACCCGTCTCGCCCCACAGCGAGGCCACCGGGGATGGCGCCTGGTGTCATCGAGCCACTGCGTGGCCTCGCTCACACTGGGCAGGGACACTGCGGGGTCACTGTGTGTCCTCAGTGCCGGTGGCTGTGCAGACACGGGGGCGCATCCGGTGGCTGCATGCCCAGGGCAGGGACATGCACAGGCATGGCACGTGCCCGTGGCAGCTGGGCATGGCGTGGTCACACCGGCTCCACTGGTCCTGCGTGGCAGTGGCCCCACACCCTGCCTTGAGCCACCGCAGGGCTGGAGCCCGTGTCACCTGCCAGTGCCACCTATCAGTGCTACTGTGCCACCTCCTGCTCCCAGGTTGCTTCTGTGCCAACCTGAGCCGTGTCCCCAGGGATGAAACAGTGAAGGCTTTACAGTGAAGCCTGAGGCTGGGAGGGCTCCGGGTGCCTCTCGGTGCCACTGCAGGTGGTGGCACCAGCCTGGCACGTGGCTTTGCAGCTCTGCCAGGGCTGGATCCGGGCTAGGTGAGCCAGCAGCACCCTCTGGAACCGCTCCACTCCCCCGTCCTGTGGGAATTCCCTCCTCAGCTGTGCCCCCGTGACTGGCGAGAGCTGCTGGGACCCACCAGGTGGCATCCCAGGAGCTGTCACTGCAGTGGGAGCCAGGCTCTGGGACACGGTTTTTTGATGGGCTTGTGTGTGGTACCATGGCAGGGCCACCACTTGTGCTGCCTTTCCTGTCCATTCCTGGCTTGCACACGGCTGGCACATCCTGGTGGCTGCCGCATTGATCAGCTCAATGCAGAGCTAATGATGAGGGAAGTGGAGCCGGGAGCCCTGGGGACACTGCAGAGGCCACTGGTGTTCCTTGTGCTGCAGCTGCCAGGAGGGTTCAAACTGCCCACAAACATGTCCTGGGATTCCCGTGTGTGCCATACTCCAGCTGCGGCTGCCTGTCCCCACTCTGCTGGTGTCCACATCCCAGAGGAGCGCAGGGGGCAGCTCCCCCGAGGGTGCAGAGCTCTCAGTTCCCTCCAGCCCCGGAGGTGAGGGGTACACGGATGCTTGTGCCCCCACAATGTGCCCTCTGGGCAGCTGTGCCAGCACCGCCGGATAGCTGGGCTCAACGGGCAGGTGCCCACTGTCCCTTGGAGCCATGCCCTGGGACCGGGACAGCACGGGATGAGCCAGGGAAGGGATCCCAGCTGGGGGGAGGAGCAGCTGGGGGTGTCAGCAGCTCAGGGTGGGGGCTCCTCAGCCGGAGGGGGTGGGTACCACATCCCTGGGTGATGCAGGGTGGAGTACTCAGCACGGGGCCGTGGGTACCGGTGGTGACTCTGCCCTCCTCCCCCAGACCTGCCCGCGCTGCTGACGCCCTCCGCCGAAGCCCAGGTACGTGGGGGCCGGTGACCTGCCCCGTCTGCCATCCCAGCCCGGTGTGGGGTGGGCACGGCTCCCTTCCCCCCCCGACAGGGGTTACAGGTCCTGGGACAGGACCCAGCAGCAAGGGGGGAGCGGGGACAGCGGGTGCCAGGGTGCACGGGGTCCCCACCGGTGCTGTCCCCCGCAGATGGTGCAGTCGCTGGGCTTTGCCGTGTACCGGGCGCTGGACTGGGGACTGGACGAGAACGAGGAGCGGGAGCTGAGCCCGCGCCTGGAGCAGCTCATCGACCTGATGACCAACAGCGACTCCGAGGACAGCGGCTGCGCCACGGCCGACGAGGGCTATGGGGGGCAGGATGAGGAGGAGGAGGGGGGCGAGGGGCCGCCTCGCTCCGTGCGCACCTTCGGCCAGGCCATGCGCTGCTGTGCCGCCCGCCTGGCCGACCCCGCGGGCGCCCCGGGGCACTACCAGGCTGTGTGCCGCGCCCTCTTCGCCGAGACCGTGGAGCTCATGGCCTTCCTCGCCAAGATCCGCGATGCCAAGGAGGTGAGCATGGGTGCCCGCTGGCACCGCCGCCCTGCCGGGGAAAGCACCTGCAGTGACAAGGGACTGGGGAGGCTGCGGTGCCCCTTCTGCCCATCCCAGCCGGGGCTGCTGGTGCCGGTGTTTGGCCGTACAGCCTCTGCCACACTGTGGTGCTGGCTGGGAATCAGGAACTGGGGTGCACCTCAGCGCCGCACTCCCAGCTGGACCTTCAGCGCCACCAGGACAGGGTGACAGCATCTTGTGCCTCAACAGCTACTGCAGAAGCTGAAGGAGGATGAGGAAGAGGAGGAGCGGCCGGCGGCGGAGCTGGGCAACCTGCGCAACACAGACTGGGTACGGCAGCGTGGCCGGGCACGGGGGCTGTGCCGGCCATGGCAAGGTGCTGACACCGTGTCCGTGTGTGCCCCCAGGCCCGGCTGTGGGTGCAGCTGATGAGGGAGCTGCGGCACGGAGTGAAGCTGAAGAAGGTGCAAGAGAAGCAGTTCAACCCTCTGCCCACCGAGTACCAGCTCACGCCCTTTGAGATGCTCATGCAGGACATCCGTGCCCGCAACTACAAACTCCGCAAGGTCATGGTGAGCGTGGCCACCGTGCCAGCCCCTCACCCTCCATCCTGCCACTCTCCAGCCCAGCACTGACCCCCTTCTCTCCCCAGGTGGATGGAGACATCCCCCCCAGGGTGAAGAAAGATGCCCACGAGCTCATCCTTGACTTCATCCGCTCACGGCCCCCCCTGAAGCAGGTGGGTGCCAGCACGGGGCCACCTCCCTGGTGTGACAATGCTGGTGGGTCCCATGGATGCCATCCCTGGGTGTCCCATCTGTGCATCCCGCAGGCATCAGAGCGGCGGCTGCGGCCGCTGCCCCAGAAGCAGAGGACGCTCCATGAGAAGATCCTGGAGGAGATCAGGCAGGAGCGGAAGCTCCGGCCCGTGGAGCAGAAAGGTACCGATGTCCCCTCCCTGCTGTGCTATGTCACCTGTGTGCCCATCCCCACGGCACTGAGCCTGTCCCTCTGCAGGATACAGCTCCTTGCCCTGCATCCCACACGCCTGTGCTGGCCACCTGACCTCCAGCTCCTGCCTCGAGCTGTCCCGGTGCCCGGCCAGCGCCGTGCCTGTGCGCCCACGGCCACGCGTCCTGCTCAAGGCACCCACCCTGGCCGAGATGGAGGAGATGAACCTCTCTGAGGCAAGGGGGAACCTGCAGAGGTGGGGAGTCTCAGGGGGTGCCAGGGTGCCCTTGGTGACAGTGCCATGGCCTTGCAGGATGAGGACTCTCCGGCCACAGAGGTGCCGCTGAAGCGGGATCGCTCCTTCTCAGAGCAGGACCTGGCACAGCTGCAGAGCCAGCTGGGAAGTGACCAGGCTGTGCCCCGGGACCCAGAGCCACTGCAGCCCGAGCCCCGGCCCCGCTCAGGTACTGCCAGGAGTCCCCATGTCCCTGTCCCCAGGGGTCTGTGCCCTGCCTTTCAGCAGTGGGGGCACTGAGCAACATGTCCTTGCCATGGCCTCCCTATCCGTCCTGGCAGGCTCCGTCCCCGCCAGCTGCCACCCGCTGCCAGATGGCCCAGCACTGCCCCGGGCTGCCCTCGGCGCTGTGGAAGAGAGGCCAGAGGATGGATCCAGTGCTGCCCCTGCCAGCAGCTCCAAGCACCTCTGGCTGGTGGGTTCTGGGGACACCAGCTGGGAACACGGGCTGGGGACAACAGCCGAGGCTGGGGGTCCTTGTGCCAGAGATACTCTGCCTGTCCTGGGACACTCTGCCTATGCCAGGGATGCTCTGCCCATGTTTGGAGTCTCTGCCCTGGCACAGGAGTGCTCTGGACCGTGCCCTGTGCCACAGTCCAGTGTGACATTTCCCCCCTGTTCCACAGGAGTTCAGCCACCCTGTGGAGAGCCTGGCCCTGACTGTGGAGGAGATGATCAACGTGCGCAGGGTGCTGGTCAAGGCTGAGATGGAGAAGTTCCTGCAGAGCAAGGAGCTGTACAGCAGCCTGCGGAGGGGGAAGGTGGGAATGGGGGGCTGGAGGGGCTGGGGGCCACGTGTCCTCACCCACACACCCCCAGCTCACCCTGCTCTGCCCACAGGTCTGCTGCTGCTGCAGGGCCAAGTTTCCTCTCTTCTCCTGGCCTGCATCGTGTTTCTTCTGCAAGCGGTGAGCACTGTGCCATGCTGTGCCAAGCTGTGCCAAGCTGTGCCAAGCTGTGCCAAGCTGTGCCGTGCCACGGGGCTGGGAGGGCAGCAGCAGGGTCCCCACAATGGCCNCTGCTCCGACTGCGCCGGCTTCGTCACGGACGTGGTCAGCTCCAGCCGCCGCAGCGTGGCCGTCCTGAACGCCAGCGCCGCGTCCCGGCGCCACGCCAAGGCCCGCTCCCTCTACAGCGACGCGTGGCTCCAGTGAAGGGCCGGGAGCCCCGGTGATGGTCGCCACGGGGGTGCCGGTCACCCCGGCACAGCCCCCCGATGTACATATATACATAGGACGGATACACACAGCTTCTATATTTATATACGTTATGGACCGGGGGGCAGAAGGAGCCGTTCCCGCTGTCCCTGCCATCCCCTTCTGTCCCCGCCACCGGCCCCCGAGGGGATGGATCCTGCTGCGGAACACCCGCAGCCGCTGTGCTGTCCCCGCTTCTGTGCCAAGCCCTGGCTGTGCCGGGGTGCCCGGTGCCCTGGGCTGGCATGGCTGTTCTGTACGTCCCCTCCATAATAAACCCGCTGGGCTGCCCTGGGGCCGCGTGGCTGCTCCGGAGTGGATGGGGAAGAGCGGGGAAGGGTGCTGCGGGGTGTGAGGGGATCGAGGATGGGGGCACTCCATTTCACCGTGCACATCTCCCACCGCGGGCCCGGCGCAGGCTGTCCCCGGGCCCGGCGCAGGCTGTCCCCGGGCCCGGAGCAGGCTGTCCCCGGTCCCCGGTCCCCGGT